TCATGAGTTTCCAAGAGGAACGCTGTCAAAGAGTTGCAACGCGACGTTCGATGTTATTAATTAACTCGAGATTCTATCGACGATTCGAACGCAAAGTTTATTTATCCGAGCGATCGCGATAACTTCGAGCTTCGCTTACACGATTCACCGATTCCTATGTAATAGGTACTTTTTTCAATCGACTCTGCCCTCAGAGAAAAATTCCCCCCGAACTTTCCCGTTAACTAATTAATTATTACCGGTTCGATTGATTTCTTTCGTTACGATAAACATTTCGCTTCCTTTACGAGAATCGGAGTCTCCGATAAGCCCCGCTGAATATTTATCGACGCCATTAATGGGGAACGAATATAAATGACAGAAAATCAATCACTGAGCTTGTAACATGGCTGTTATCGACGATTTTAAATGACCGGCTTAAATGGGAATAAATAAGTACACCTAATTTGTCTAAATATTTATCGGCTTGGTGGACGCAAATTGCTACGAATTTAACCGTACTTCGAATCGAAAGGTTTATCGACAAATTTTATATAAAAAAAATTCCATTTTACGATATCGTCTTGCAACGGTCAAATTAATCGGTTAATTTCGCTTGATATTGTATATTCGATTCGCGATAAACAGATAAACGAATCGACTTTCGAATTTTGAATTTCGGTTGGTGCTCGTCGGAATGCTACCTAATTCAAGAATATCAAGCGTTCAGTGGGAAGATATTGAGCTACCTTTATCAAGCTCCTTTGTCAAAGTTAAAAATTTTCTCCTCGACTCGCAGTCCTGTTGCCCAATTTTTCTATTCTTTTACTATAAGAATACAAACCACACGATCTTCTGGACACGCCATCCCGGATAATCTGTCCTACGGTATATTCGATTCTCAACGAGCAGATCGATTAATTGATTCGTTCAATTTGGTAAAACAGTACCTAATTCGAAGATATCGACGTTATCGCCTAGCCTAACCGCCCACTCGTTTCGAAGCCATTGGATAATGACCCAGCGCGACGCGCCGCAAGAGGAAATATCTTGGCCAACGTCGAAAGGTGAATCTCGCTCGTCGAGATTTCACGACCTCGCGAGTGTCCTCATCCTCTGGTTATGTAGTCATACGTACGCGTCTAGAGGAAGTCACCACACCGTGCACGGCGTAGAATAAACGGTCAGTGACGCGCGGTAATGGCCGACATCCTAATCCTGGCCCCCTACAGCTTAATGCCATACACTCCGCAATGATAATGCTGCATGTGCTTTTTGTCATTACCAGTCGCCATGCTACCCCGTAATGAGCACCGCCGCGGGCTCCTTCGCTATTAGGATTCACAGCCCTCCAGGAAGACCTTGCCTCCTCGGTGGCTAGGAATCCTCCGATTCGACGATCGAGACCCAACTAATTTCCTTGAATACCGACACCGTGTGCTTGGGAATCGCGTGACGATAGCAAACAGGCGCCAGAGAAATGATGTCCTTAGCCAACGGATAGATAGATTGTCTAAGTTTGCCGATAGGGCACGACCAAGATCTACCGGCTGAGATATTTTTTAACAGTTTCTACATTTTTTTGGGGGTTGTAGAAGCATTCATCTACAAACTCCGGTAGAGATCCAAAGATTCTGCCATTTTCCTACGAAAGGAACGTTTCTACCACTATCCTTCGGGGCTGAACAAATTTCTCGAGCTTTTGTTTCTACATTTTCTTTGCATTGCAGAACTATTCACCTACAAGCTCCAGCAAAAATGTTCAAATTACCTCGTTTCGATCAAAACGTTCCACCATTTTCGTACGAAAATGAACGTTTACACCCCAATCCTTCGAAGCTGAACAAATTTCTCGACCACTTTCCCTACGCTTTTCCCTTGTTTTATCGTTATTCACGTACGAATCCCAAAGTTCAATTATTGAATTACCCCTCCTCGATGAAAAGTGCTACAGTTTCCATAAAGAGAGGGCCGTTTACGTTCGCCTCCGAAGTTCTGCCGTGCAAAAGGAGAGATACCAAGGTGCGGAAAGCGAAACGAAGGGCCCTCGCGGCCCTGCGAGTACTCTCGCACACGCGCGCGACACGTTCGCTCTGATTAAGCTTAATTCGGTCTCCCGACGAGCAAGCGAAAGAGAAGAGAAGTCGTTCCAGAAAAAGGCCCCAACCGCGGTCTCGTACCGCTGGCTCGCGCTGTCTGCCGTCCAATCCTGCCAACTTAACCTCATTAATAAATTAATTAGATATTATTGTGTTGGCAGCCAGGGCGGCAGCTGCGGGCCACTTCTCCCTTCCCTCCTTCGTCTTCGTCTTTCCTCGTCTTCTCCGGGGCCCGCAGATGACGTTCGGAACGCCAACCGCGGGGGGGGGGGGGGGGGGGGGGTTCAAGACCCGTGACGTCATTTCTTGCAACGATCACACGGATCCACTCGCGTAAAACCCGCACGTTTTTCCGAACAACCGCGAGACCCTCGCTTTCTTTCCATTGTTAAAGTCTCGATCGAGGTGGACATTTTTCTGGGAGGGTACGTAGGAAGACTGGATTTTTCCATTAAAAAAGGTTTTCGGAGACGAAATAAGCACTGCCTTCGAGGACACAGGTGTACCTCGTTTAGCTGTAGAGAATTCATTTGCGGGAGTATTGCTTGTGAATTTACGATAAGGATTTTGAAAGGGGTCATTTGACCCCGTCTGAATACGTTTATCATTCAAAAACAAAATTTTAAAGCTCGTTTTGGAGAAATCTTTATATATATATATGGATATATAATTGTGCATGCACACAGCACTGTTTTCCGCGGCGATTGTATCCCCGCGCGATTCCAATTCTCTTTCACCTCCTGCTTCCGTGAATCAAAGACGGCGCGTTGGTATTCGTCGCGACGCGCGCAATGCGATACCGTCTCGTTGGAAAAGCGGCTGCTCTTTATGGTCACGTAATAACCAACCGCCCGTTCAGGGGATTTTCGCGAACAGCGCGGAGCGAGGCGGTCGAACGAAGAGCGAGAAAGAGGTTGACGATGATGGGTATAAGGACGGCTGTCCGAACTCGTTTTCGTCAGGCAACGCGGGGAATCCCACCGGGAGCCCAACCGGCAGCTGTCTGCGGGCTAAAGCTTCCGTTGGAAAGGCTCGTCGAAACTTAACGCGGTATGATTTTTGTCGAATGATACTTGGCTGGCTTTGCGTCCGTTCCCTGCTACGCCAGATCACGAAAGAGGGGGATACCAGTGGTGAATTGATTTATCCACTGGATTCGATCATCGGGGCTGTTTATTAGAAAGCGGAGAGGCTTTTCCAAAATGGCCTTGAAGATTTCGATAACGAAATATCCCAATCAGACGTGGTCGTGGTAGACGTTTGATTGTAACGTACTTTTATTTGGCAAGTATTTTATTTAAAAAATAATATTCTAAATCCTCTGTTTTAGATGACCATCGAGTTAAAGTTCGAGTCGTTTATGTTTTAATATAATTTTTTGTTTAGAATGAGAAGAGTATCTAAGATGTACGCGTATATTTTCGTTTTGTATTTTTCTCGTGTATCGAATGTTGATTACCTAACACGCCTAACATCGTGTCTCGAACGGTCTTGAGCTTCCGTCTCCTTACGACCAATCCTGCTCCCATCTGCGCGCCTTATTTAATTTACGAGTGCGTTATACCTCTTCCGCAGACTTATCGATGATACCATTATGATATCGATATTATTACCAAGTGTTCTAAGGCAATAGAGAGCTCGCAAGCCTGTCGACGGTTGCTGAAAACGTTGGCGTGAAATGTTTCGCGTACCTTTGATTTTCACCACGATTCTCGAGCGTTTCTATATTTAGACATTCGATTTGAACCCTCGTTTTGAGTGTACATATTTCTCTAGATTTGGACAAATAAAAATATGACTTTCAGTTTTACGGCTCCGAAGTAAAAAGGCTTACGAGTTTATGTAAAATCGTAAGAAAAATAGCGTTGCTCTTCGAGTGACAACCTGGAATACAGTGCTCTATATCGTTCAATTATTCTCTGAAAACTGAATATCCCTGTCAAATTCTTAAATAACAGAATTGTTTTTGCTGCGCGTTCGAGACCTTTGGATCGCGGTCCGTCGGACAACGAACCGCACGTCCGACCAAAGTTAACTATAAATCAAATTAATTCGAATATATTTCGCGAACGTTAACGCGTATTTTTACAGATTGTATCGGATACCTTTCGTACCTAAATTTCAAAAAAAAAAAAAAAAAAAAAACTTGTTATATAAAGCAGCGACAGAGTAGTTTCGAAGAACGATATTTTAAACGTGAATTAAATCATACACGTATCGTATAGAATTAACAATTCCTATCATTTCAATTGTAGCAAATTGATCGAAACACTTGATTCTTCCTAATATCATCCAATTTTCTCGAGCACCCCATCAGATATAATTGAAAAAACAGCCAAATGCTATTACAGCGGGTTCAAACCGGCGAATTAACTTGGATCAAACCAGTTGCACTTAAAGGCATCCCTTACTCGATTAATTTAGTTCCGGATGTACTCCTGCGCGATAAAGCGTCACGAATCGACGAAAGTTACGCCGAATCTTTCAGTAATTTTAGCGTAATACAAAACCGGAGTATTTGAAAAATAAAAAAGAGAAGGGCTATACGAAGGATCGTGTACGATTATTCATCGGTACAGGATCGATCGACCATGTTTGACCCGAGGAAGGTCGAAGTAAAAATGGTGGTAACAATCGTCTTTTGTTTCTCGTTTCGAAAACCATAGTTTTGTATAGAAGAATCCGACTAAACGGAAGAAAGTCAATGTTTCACGTTTACTCTAATCTTCCGAAAACTATAGACTGTTCGATAGAACTTGACTTTCGTCTGCCATTTATATCGCGACTATACTATATTTTGAAAAGAAATAATTCCCACTCGAACGACCGATGCAGCAGCGAGTCATAATTAATGAATTAATCCAATCCCCTGAAATCTAAGATGTACGCGATTCAAGACCGTGAAATTAAGACATCACGTACCTTGACCAGTGGTGGACTGTGCGCTGGTGGATGATAGTGTCCCGAAGAAGGGCTCGCGGGCGGCCCCGCGCCCCCCGGCGAAATGGTACCGCCTCCGGGGGTGAGAATCCTGGACTCGTGGCTGAACAACACTTTCCTGATTTCCTCCACACCCTCGCGGACCACCGTCGATCCACAGAACCGCTTTTTCTCGATCGAACCGACCGCGATCGCCGCGATCTACCTCAAACGTTCTCGAACGGCGCACAGCTTCGAGCAGGCCTCGATCACTGTCACAGAGCTGGATCCGACCACGATCTCGAACCAATTTACGATGGATACGTTGGAGATACGTCTCGCGTGTCTTACGACTCGGAGGTGTTGGGGTACGTTTGGATATCCGCTTGGGGAAGTTTTAATTAAAAATCCTGGACAGTTCAAGAGTTACGGACATGACTTCTTAGAGCGAATGTTTTATGACAACGATGGAGTCCTGGGGGTCCAGACACTCGAACATTCTTAAACTCGAACTAGCCTGTTGCAGTTGGGAAGGGTTTGCGATAGGTGTCTCCTGGTATCCTCTTAACTCCTGACACTGGTTAGATCCTCGATTACTCCCGAACGCACCAGTCAAACGTGGTCAATCCTGGCACCGGTAGGTGAAGTTTGATATCGTCTCGGCTCTTCCTCTCCCGAAACACCGCATTTTCCAACACACCAATACACCTCGACTAGCTTTCCAGCACGGGTCTTCCGACTGTTCTTCCACTTCCCATCAGCTTTTCATCCACATCTCTTGGTTCGAGCACAAACATCCAACCTTGTCCATCTCAACGCGACTAATCTTCGCGTTTCGAACGACGTCCCATGTCAGGTATCACCTGGCACAAAAAGGAACTTGTCACTAGTCTGGTTCGGTTGGATCGTCCGCAACGCGTCCAGCGGGAAGTGACACAAGCACTGGTGATCTCGCAACTGGGGGATGACCGTAAAACCGGAGGTATCGCGTTCGAGCCGTCCAAGGAGCTCCCAGCTGGATTGTGTCGCGTTTCGGAGTCGCGTTAGACAGCCGAGGAAAGCGTGCTCGATAGGCGGTACCACGCAGGCGTCGAGAAGCTCCCGAGGCGTGGTCTGCGATCTCTCCTCTCGTTCTTTCCATCGCGACCGATCGTCTCTCTTCGGCTGTTGGCGCGGGGGTGGTGGAACCACCACGTGGTTTTATTGGCCAAATAACGCGTACAACAAACATCCCTGCTTCTGTGCGGAGTATCTCCCTGTGTTGTAACTCACCCTCGCTACGCGTAGCCCTTTGGACGAGAGGAGAGGCAATAGTCGTCATGGTGTAAATCGTGTTTACCCCTCGTCCATAGTGATTCTCGTGTGTATCAGCTACCGACGCTCCACCTCGAGTTATATCCTCTCCGCTCGGCATCGCCGCTTCGTTCTACGACTCGTTTTCCGTTTATCGCTTTTTTACACCGCATCCCTTCTTCGGCGACACGCTTGTCCTCGCGGACCGTCCTCCTCGCTGTTTCTTCGGGGCTGGCTCCACTGGCTCGTGTCGCGGATCACGAATTCTGAAAGCAATACGAGCGTGAGCATTTCGTTCGATACGAATTACATCTTTTTTCTCTTTGTCGCGGAGTTTTATTGTTATCCCTGGCTGGCGTCGAGGGTGGAGAGGTGTAAAGTGATTCAGCCACTCGAGCCTCCGTCCTTTTCGAGTCATTCGATTAACTGGTATCGAGTTAATCGGTCTCGTAAAATCTTGTACAGTGACATCTACATCTTGCAAAAAGAAAAGGAAGAAGCGGGGGACAGATACTTGTACTTTGAGGAAACATGTTTTACAAGGGAGAAACAGATAAGAATCGGATAGAAGAAATCAGGTGTCTGGATTTTTCCGCAATTTTCCCGGGTTTGATCGACTCCAATTTCATCCCCTATCGAATCGCACTTCGCCGGGAATTCGAGATACTTGTGTATCGCTGGAAAAAAACGTGGGAGGATCCGAATCGTCGATGACGGTTTCGAGTCGAATAGTAGAGTCGAGCACGCACTTATCCGTGTCCATATATATTCTCTTTCCATTCGATTCTTCCAACCCTTCGGGGATAGCCCGATTTTCGATGGCTGAGAGCGCACGTAAGTCGACGCGATAGGAAGATACTGCGAGATGACATTGATTTTAAAGGAAAACACTCCCAACCGAGATTCCGCCGTTCTAATAAATGGAAACGAAGGAATAAAAATAACCGAGAGGAAAATATTGACGGTAAGAAACGAAATATTAAAGAATCGTATAGAACGAGAGAGAATGAGAGAAAATGAAACGAGGTGCAGGGGTGGATACGCGCAAATAAGAGCGGATACGACGCGTAAAGCGTGTATCGAAACCGAAACTCCGGCTAAAGCAATCGAGGAACGCGGGCGGAAGAAATTGGGAAAGAGAAATGGAAAGGGAAAAAGGGACAGAAAGAGCTAGACACCGAGTTAGGCGAATAATCGTGTTTCGAGGTGACTAGATTACACCACGCCATGCTTGCGATCCACGTACACGCCACACACGAAATCCACCTACCACGTGCGGATGTGTAGTTGAGAATTTCATCCCCTATTCGATACAGCCACCGCTGGAAATATCCAGTTAACTGGTTCCAATTTGTCCTTGATATTTATGGATTGATTTCCTTCGGCGAAGGGAAAGCGAACCACTTCTCTCCGCATGATTGCTAGTTGGCGATAATGAAACTACTTTTGGAGGAAGGAACCGTGGTGGTTACGATATTATATAGGAGGGATCGAAACATTAGCGAATAATCCTGAGACTCGTCGTTGTAAATAGCAATCATGGAACGCGAGAAAAACATCAACGACCAAACGTTCTCCGGTAATAACAATGCTTGGGTATCACCTTCAAGACAGCCATCGAGGTGGCTTAGCGAATAGCGACAACAAAAATCTCCAACCTCGCGTCGATGGTCGGTCACGACAATGCCCGCATCGTCTACTATGCCATCGTTATTAAATACTTAACCCGAAAACCGTTCATCTTATCTTAAAAATGTTATTCGTGTATTTCAATTGTCCACGGGACAAACCATGTGACCTTATTTTAACAACGAGGCTATTTACTAGATTGTAGATTTTGTTAATGGCTTCGCTGTAAGGTAGCTTGGTCTGTGCTCGTGGAACAAGATAGTACTTATATTCAATAAATATATAACAAAATTTGAAATGTGCCTTTGCATTTTTTTTAAAAATTCCCACGAACTTTTTGGACAACCCAATACTTCGTTACTTCGACAATGGCTACTGGATCTTCAATGAAAATCGACTCCATCTTAGGAAGTAATTTGCTTTGGTCACCCGCTTAGAACAACCCTTAAGAACTCAACACTAATCACCCCAACTTTTGTCTTCGATCCTCCCTTCCACCCGCACCTGTCCCACCGTTTCCTCGACGCTTTCTATCACACCATCCCCAGCTGATCCCACGATCCTCCAAAATCCAACTTCCTCCTCGATAATACTCGTCTACGCGAATAGGAAACGTGAACCGACCCAAAACGATTCCGCCACGTGCGGAAGTAACCGGGTGCATCGTCCAACATTCCTTCCCCGCGACCCCTTCGTCTCTAACCGGTTCACCTAGAATTCCAGCGTCGCCGAGAGGAGGCGGAGGTTGTTTAATAAAATAACCTCGTTATGCCGCAGTCGGGTAGACGACGCGGGGGACGGTGCGGACGGTGGAGGGGGGCATTTGACGAAGGGGGCCGCGGGAGGAGATCCGTCGGAGTGTAAAAGACTGAGTCGAACCGTGGACCGGCGGGGGATGGCTAATGTAGCAACGGTGGCTGCTCGCCTTGGCTGCCAGTAGGAAACGAGCGGACCAGATGAACGAACAGGGCGGCCAAGAGCGGGCGGGGGCGGCAGGGTAGAGGGTTCCTGCGGATCGGCGAAAGGGGAAGAGAGAGCGAGCGAGCGACCGAGAGAGAGAGAGAGAGAGAGAGAGAGAGAGAGAGAGAGAGAGAGAGAGAGAG